GCAGGGGAAGTGCCCAGCTTCAGCGGGAGCTTCCTTTGCCAACAAGCACCAGCTTCAGTAGGACAAGCAAGGACACCTCTGCTTGAGCCAAGACAAGCCAGCAAGACATGGGACCAGCACTTAGCCTGGGGGAGTGCCCTAATCTGGTTATGAGAAATGTTGTGCCTCTGTCATGCTGCTGCTGCTTGATAAGGAAGCTGTGAGCTCTAACACCTCAGGGATTCAAACTCAGTTACCCCAAAACTGCACTTTGTTACTTCCCCAGTGCTCCTGGGAATGACTGCTAAAATTCACAAGGAGATCTAGCATGGATGGTGTCCTGTTGTGGAAATGTCTCCCAGTCAATAATGAGGTTTAATCCATCTGAATTCTAAATAATCACTCAGACCGTCTTCTTTCAAAAGCAGTATTTATTTTTTTCATCAAGATAAGACACATAACATACTGCATAATGTAAAAAAAACTGCTAGAAAAGCTGCATTTAACTGAGATAGCAATAACAAAAAATAAAAAAAAATATATATAGATTGCACTTGAGAAAGTAGGCTCTATCCCAGAAGAATACAGTAAATAAAAAGCTAGTGAGTGGTCTGAAATTAGGAATCTTTTTGAATTTCCTTTGAATTTATATTTATTTTGCGTGTTCCAATTCCACCAATATGAAATATCAAGCTTTTTTAGCTTCTTTGCTTTTTAAGTTGAAATAGTAGGTAAACAACATAATAATTATTAAAAAGACAAATGAGGGAAAAAAAGGTATAGAAAAACATCTCTGCAATTTCTGCTAATAAATAAAAAGTTTTGCTGGTATTTGGTTTCACTAAGGCAATTGTAGCTCTGGACTCAGGCTTTTTGGAATTTTTTCTTAGTTCAAATATGGGTTATGATCCCCACAGTGTAACATAAAGCCCATCCTTGACTGTCCTGCACTGGCTGGGAACATGCTCTCTGCACGTCAGACACCAGCATGAAGCAGTGAATGTGTCTGAGGAGTAATACTTTATATTTGTGACAAGATTAACCTATACTTAAGAAAGCAAGCCCAACATTAGTGAGAGAATAATACCTGTTATATTAGTCTCTTTACTTAACAGCTGAATTTTTCTGCTGGACTCTGGCATCCACTGCTGCCTGTACCTAATTCAGTTAGCTAAACTATCAGCTGTTCAGTCTTTAAAGCAAGTATTCACACCATCTACCTTTGTGTACATCACTTAGATGGCCAAATAATATTTTTTATTTTTCTACATAGCCAAAAGAGAGAAAAAATATAGTTCCCACATTGGGCAATTTCAACTCTGGGGCTAGGGCACACTTTGAAAGAGCCTCTCTCTCTCCCAGTTGCCTGTAGAGGTAACTCAGACTCCCAGACAAGGCTGGATCCCCCAGACTCTGAGGCATAAATACCCCTCCCAACACATGGCTGTTGGGGTGCAGATTGGGCCAGCAGAGGTGGGTGGAAGGTGTCAGACACAGTGAATGCCTGTTGCATACCTTCCCTTGGGCGGTGGGAATTAAAAGGACCACTCAAAGCCATGTGAAACTGCTGCTTCCTACAGCCAATGCTAACTACGAGGCCAGAGTGCTTAGGCATCATTTAGACATAACTCAGTTAGGAATACACATCAGAGTGCACTGTCTCAAAAACAATCAGTACTGCTAAGGTCTTGCACGCAAATTTCTTCCAAAATTAGCTAAAAATTACGTAAGGGCTAGGTCATTCTTGTTGTGAAGCTAGAGCCAGAAAAAGAATGAAATCTTCTTTAAACAGTCCTAAACTATGAAACAAAGCTGGCAATCTTTGGTTATGTGCTGTTGTTTTAATGAGAATTGCTTTGAAAAATGATGAATCACTTCCCAAGACAGCATCCAGGAGCATTTTTAAATAGACATCTTGGAGCCAGAGAGGAAAAATTAATATAAATAATAAAACCCCCACACTTACTGAATCTCAAAGGTTAAAGCACAGGAATAAAAGTAACACAACATTTTGAAGGGATGATTCAGTCAAGTTTTGCTAATATTATAAAAGAGTACTTACAAAATACTTGAGCTGCTGAAGAGGGTAAGTCAGAACATTAGGGCATTTTTGTAACAGAACTGTATATTGCTAAAACATACTGGCTTGAAGGCTCTCTATATTACACTATAGCACATGCCTGTTTCCACTAATTATAACACACTCTTGTCAACCTACTTCACTCTTTCAAGGAGACAGAAATACAAGTGGCAACACGAACAAGATTAATCAATGTCTGTCATTAAACATGCTGCCCCATTCCCTCAGTTATATTCGTGATCAAAACTCCAATTCCTTGCCAGACTTAAATCTGCCTGAATTTTACACTTCAGGAGCAGCATTCAAAAATATTTAATGCTAGTTTGGAAGGATTTTTTCTCCTTTTTCAGCTAGAGCACTTTCATAATATTTTAAAAGGCATAGGAAGCTATGCTGCAGCTTTTAAAATGCTTATTTTATTATGAGGTGGTGTTTAATAATATTCTTCTGGAAGTTAATAAATGATGCACATTTTCCTTGACAGACAGACATTGCTTAATGAGTTAATATGCTTCAGCAAAATGCAATCAAATGAAATTCACTGTCAACAGCTTAACCATGGCAATACACAGAGCTGAAATGAGACAACTAACCTCAGATAACTAAGATTAATGCATATATGACAAAGCTATAATAATCCATATTTAAAACAAACAAACAAACCCCAAACCAAATAATGATAATTAAATCTCAAGCACAATTTTGTTTCCCAGTAACACAACTGCAAAACAAATCAATATTTTCAACAAACAAGTGCCTTATCTTCATCGCCTGCATGGGGAAACACGGCACTCCTCAAACCACAGTGAGGATACAACAGGGATGCTGTCTCTCCCTTTTCATGTAGAGGAGGCTCCTACTGGGCAACTGTGGGCAGCTCTGAGCAAGGGACAGGAGTCCAGTCCAGGTAGGTAGAGACCAGAATCAGCCCCAGGCCACAGGGACTTACCTGGGGAGCTGGCAGGAGCCCCGTCTTGCAGAAGCACCTAGGTGATGGCTCTGATGGAGTCACCATGACAAAAGTACCAGCCTCTGCACCCCCTGATCTCCACCAGTGTCCCAGCTTATGCAATGCATCTACTCATTTCAGCACACAATTTGCTCAAGTACAAACAATGAGATTGGATTTTAGTGGTGTGTTATTTCATGTATTGATGGATTCTCCTCGTTATAGCTCACTCTGTTGGGCCAGAATGCTGGGAAGTTCCCACTCAGAGCGGGACAAACCATTTTATACTCATACAGGCTCAAATTCTCTCTTCACTTATATTCACAAAACCCTGCTTATTGTTAGGAGAGCTGAGCAGGTAAAAATGGCAGCAGAATTTGAGTGTAGGAACTGGTGAGTGAGAAACACAAATGCCACACTATTCCATTGCCAGCTACCACAAATACCTATATAACTGGTGTTTCACTTCAGTGGGCATGGTGCCCAAAGCTCACTGTAAGTGAGCTTTGAAAATCTCAACCCTCAGAATCTAGCTACAGATAACCATAATCCTATATTCTTGGATGATGATACATAAATCTACGATATACCTGTTTAGCTGCCATGGCACTAATCAGCACAGCTATGCTGAAACACAGCAATCATTTTTGCTAATTGCAAAGGCAGGCTAGTAGCAAAGTTCAAATTATTAGTGAGTAAAGGTCCTCAGAAAAATCCTGCTTAAAAGTAAACATCTGGTAAGCTGCAATCAGTGTGTCCTGTTTTTTTCTTTTATGTATGTATGTATGTATGCATGTATATATCTATCTATCGGGGTGGTCTTGAACTGCAGATACAATCACAACGCTCATGGTGATCCAGCTGTATATCTATTAAGGCCATGTTGTTCCTGGTTCTGCCTTTTCTTCTGGGATGCCCAGCCTCAGGGATGAATTTCAGCACCTGGGTCAAACAACAGAAATGCATGAATTAGAAAACATTGTTAGAGATTTAAGGATGAGGCGTTTAGGCCCTCAGGGCACCAACAGACCTTAATGGCCCTGACCAGCATTAATTTTGACACATTTTTTTGTTTACTGTCAGCTTTTTCTTTCAACTCTGTGACATCCTGCTGTACTGTTTGTCCTGGAGCTTTGACAGAATGGATTATTTCCTACATCAGGTATCTTGTAGTTCCCTAACCATGTCCAGAGTTGTTCCTTTGCAGGCAAATTACCAAGCATGTTTTCTTTGGCTCGTCTTTGCAGCCCAATACATATTTGAACTGCTCTGTCCCTTCTCTCACTTGTATAGTATTTCTGCTCTAAAGAATACACAACATTTTTTTATGGAATTTGATATTTATGATGCACATATCATTAGAAATGGTCAAAAAATGAAATGCCTGTGGGAGGCTGAAAGAGACTAATAGAACTTGTGCAGAATATGTGCCATAACCTGTAGAGTTTCTCTGGAATATCACTGTTGGCTTACCTTGGAAATCTCTGCCTCAATTTGAATAATTTCTTAAGAACTTACTGTGAACAATGTAAACCAACCAAACATACCATTTTTTCCTAGGGAAGTACATATCACGTAAGAGGCTTCTGAAAACATTCTATTGAGACAAGATAACACCGAGACCCCTAAAAAGAGGATTGTAGTTTATAAAGAAGATGAAAATGAGACAATGAACACAAATTACAACAAAAGCAGTTCTATTTAAGCATACAGAAGAAAATATGAGGAGTAGTCAAACACTGGAGAAGATTGCTATTCTGTGATTCTATGACCTGCCAAAGCTGCCGGTCAAGTGGGAAGTGAGACCCAAATGTCTTTAGTATCTCAGCCACAAAAAACACCCACATTTCTACCTAGAATAATGGGTTCCCTAACTATCAGACTGTTAGTCAATTATTAATCCTCTTTTTTTACAAAGTACTTTCTGTACTTTGTAACCGTACCCTGTATGTACCATGTATTACCATGTAATACCATACAAGAATTGAGATGGCCTCGGGAAGGAGCAGGGCTGCATACCAGGTCAACAAAACTATCAATCTCAACCGAACTAGAAAGTCCTCAAAAGTAAGTGTGATTGCTGTGCCAAAGGTTAATCACAGATGCTGTGCAGAGTGGGTGGGCAATGGCAGGCAGGTGAACACCCTTTGAGAAGAGATAATCCATTCTCTACCATTAGTACCTGGAGAGCAGGAAGGCCATGGGCCTTACATACAACACAAGCGATAAGCAAATAACAGTCTGTTTTGTGGTGATAAAGTTTATGTTTAACATATGTAATACTGAGAGGAAGGACTGAGCCTAAACAAGGTACAAAGATACTGCTTTAATGCGTTGGAAATGTATAATTACTTTTAATTACTTTTAATTGTTAGAAATGCAGAGACACAGCATTTTGTATTTTTTTTTCACTCATCTGTTACCGACCTCCAAACCAAGATGACGTGACCAACGAAGTGATACTCAGGTTGCTCAGGCAAGCTTTGGCTCAACCAAACCTGGTACTTACTGGGAGACTTTAACTACCCAGACATTTGCTGGAGGGAGGACACTGCAGTTCACGTGACAAGCATCAAGTTCCCAGAATGTGTAGAAGACTGCTGCCTCATACCAATATTGGATGTGTGTCACCGTTTGACTCAGGTCCAACAACAATGCTCTCGATCCCCTCCTCCCCCCACCCAAGTAGGGAAGGAGAGAGAAAAAGAGAGAGACTTGGCTGGATTGAAAACTAAACCACACAGCTTTAATTAAAACACTAATGAATCATACAAGAAAATAGATACAATTATATTCAGGTATGGGCAAAAGCCTCTCGCCTCCCCCCACCCCAGCAACTCCCACAGCACTTCCCTGAACTGGGAAGAGTCCCGAGGAATCCCAAAGCTGCTGCTGGAGAAAGCAGAGAGTTATGGGGGTCACGAGAGATCAAGCCTGAGGATCGACGGTGATGGATGAACAGAGTCCTCCCTGGACGCCGGCCATGGACGGAAGAGAAGGGGAGAAGAAGAAGGAAGGAAGTTGTCTTCTGTGATCTCTGACCTTCCTTTGAGCTTATGTAGATATATGGAATGGAATATCTTTGGCCAATTTTGCTGTCTGTCTAACTCAGCCTCCTATGGGGGGGTCACAGATCTCCCCATAGTGTCTGAGCCGGCAGAGTGCAGGTGCGGCCTTGAAGCCTCAGTAGTTAGAAAAACATTCCACTGTCTTATCAGCCTAGCAGAACACACTGTTGCTAGTTACAAGAAAGGTTACTGAAGGAAAAAAAAATCAGTAAAAAGAAAAATTGGCTTTATCCTGGCTCAAACCAGGACAATGTGCCAACCAGGCATGGGGCACACCTGGGGTTACTACTCACTAACCTGGGTGTCTTTGTGGATAACAGGCTCAACAGGAGCGAACAGTGTGCTGCAGCAGCAAAGAAAGTCAAGATGCTGTGATTATTACTGAGCTTAAAATCTACTACATCTTCCAAGATCCTTTTTTTAAGAAAACATACTTTTCAAATCAAGCACAGCTGCTAAGGCTGAACCCATGATAAAATTCATTCTTTAAAGAAAACTTTCATCAAAATCTGACAAATCCAGATGATAGGCACTTTGCAAGATCATGGATAGGTAGATCTGCTTTTTTCCACTGAGAGTAAATGAAAGTATGCAACAAGATGAGAATGAAGGTGTGGGCTGTATTTAAGCTAAGATACCTCCCGACAGCTTGGGGTTTTTCCCTGTTTTATATTAAGAAACATGAGTATATGGCTTTGCTGATAAGAGTAGAAAAACGATTTGGTAGATACAAGACAGGAAAGCAGTGTTTGAACACAGCTGAAATTGGACTGCTTTAATAGCTTATCACAGAGCTGATGTTCAAAGCTCTTCATCTAGCTTCCATCTAATAGTTTTAGTTTCAGCTAAATACAAGGGGAATTGAAAAGAATCAGGAAGCAAGGTCATTTCTGGTGACCACAATAGCCAAAAGAAAATCCTTTATTTTTCTGAAAATAGCAGCTGTTTATTCATCACATGGTTAGGACCTTAAAGGTGAGGAACTACTGAATTAATTATACAGTTCAAAGAAGTTTTGTTCAAGACATTTTATTGCTCCTTTTTTTTTTTTTTTTTTAGTTCAGTAGCTGTAAGAAAATATAGATGTGAGGGAGGTCTAGAATGCTCAAAAGATTTGTCTTAGGTGGGCAAAAAAGAATGACTTCGAAGTTTTCAAACTAAAGGAACAATGTATGTCACTACGAATCAAAATGTGGTGCCCCAGCTGTTCAGATCAATGCCACACAAAGAGTATAGAACTACAGCCATATTCCCCTCATCTCAAACACTGAGTTAATTATAGTCATAGAACTATTAACACAATTAACAAAAAATAATTAAGACAGAGGACTGAGCTTCTGAGCTGGATTTGATGTTTATAATTAATACAAAAGAGGATATCAGGGCCTTATAGCATTTATTGTGCAGGCAGATGCACAGGATCAAGCCAACATGGTGGATGGTATTTTGCTTTGCAGATTTAAGCCTGAGCATCTGAGAGGTTTCAAGGTGAGGTGACTGTAGCCACTGCATAATTCTCAGGGGCAGTGGTGAAGGAAATATAAAGAAAATGCTTACACTTGCTTCCCTGCCAGGAATCTTGCTCATTGACCATTCTTTGAACTTGGATGCCAGTTTCTGAAGGACTCTTTAAATGAGAAAGCAAAGCCATCACAAAAACCAGTATCTAGAAGCTGATGCCATAAAATCTCTAAATGGAATTAGGACCCACTTGTTTAAGATATGCTGACTCATTGCCTGGACAGTCCTTCAAGGAATCATGGTTTCCAGCCTGTTTGAAGACATCAGAAAATGGCTGCCTTTCCAGAAGATATATGGTACAAGTTTGGGTCTTGCTTTGGGGGCAGCAGGGAACTCTCCAGGGGCCTGTGGAGCACAGGAGTCCCAGTGGCCCTTCTAACCTCAGTAGATCTGTAAGAGCACTTCATAATCAGGGATCGAGGAGAGCAGAGAATTGATGACTGCTGGGGAAAGGATCCAGCTGGAGGTAATCTGTTTACACTGACCTATACCTAGCATTTCTCCAGTAGAAGCAGCAACAAAGAGGTGACTCCAGAGAGTGATTCACCTGAGACACCCACCTCTGGCGGGGCTATCTCAGATAACAAGGAAAGGAACCCAAACGCTGGACGCGTAGCTTTAAATAGGCAGTCAGATGAGGTGAACCGTTCCCTCCAGTATTCCTTGATGGTGCTACCTGATGGTCCTAGCCATGGATCATCCTACTTTGAAGTCAAGTAAAATTTAGCCATGATGGTCCATGATGGCTGACTTCTGTTTTAATAAAAAGCAAAGAGTAATAGGAAAGCTGGTCAATACTTCTTAATATTAATTGAAAAAGGGGTATTCAGTTGCTCATAGCCCTATTTTACTTAATTAATGTACTTAATTTATTAGGAACAATATTAACTTTTTTGGTAGAATTTTTGACCCCAATAGAAATCTGAAGCCTCACCTTTTTTCTTTTTTTTTTTTCCCTTTTCTTTCTGGTTAACTTAAGAAGACCATGCACATGACCAGGGCTTACCACATATCTGGTTAGCTTCATATTCCAGAGACAGGGAATGGAGAGCAACTTGGGAGGCTATTTTAGATAGTGAAATTTGTACTCTGCGGAATTTATTTTAAAATCCTGCTATGCAGCATTATCTAATCTCCTGATCATCTAAAAATACCATCATTCTAGCATGCAAACCAAATTATATTTGTCTGAGATTCATGAAAGAGGAAGCATCAAAAGTACAAAACATTCAATACAGATCCAAGTTCTGATACAGATGAAAAATCTTACTCTGCAATTTTTGGAAGTTATCTAATCCAAAGGTCACATGTAATTTAGCTGTGTTCAGAGCACAAGAAACCAAGCATTATGGG